TTTATAGATACTAACACTGACCCAAGTACCCTTCAGCCCAATACACAAAAACATAACACGTGCACATCATTAAGCTAACAACAATTTATGTGCAATAAAAGTCTCTCCTACTGCGAGCATTGCGGCCCCCAAGAGCCTCTTCACACAGCTGCTTTGCTAGGCCACGCCTCCCAGACTCCTACAATATATATCATATATACGGCCAATGATTAAACTCCTCTGTGATTGTAGCCTCATTCATACAGCTTGTGGATGCTCTCAAGGAGAATGGGAGTTTTCCACTTGTTCCACTGTTGCTTTTGTTTCTTTGCTGCTCATTGTCTAGGTGTCGCTTTAAAAGCCATTTAAAGACTGTAGCAAAAAGCAATACAACATCAAAGGTGGGATTGGGCCATAATGCACCGGAACCTCTTTTCAGAGGTAAAAGTCTGAATGGAATGGCGTTCCAGCTCAGATCTAGAAAACCCAGGTAACCATTTTTAGAGAAATCATGTGTAGTTATTTCTATAGGGATCTAAATTGCGTGCATGAAGCAAAATGTTCAACAAACCTCAGGTTCTGTCTACAGGCCGTTCAGCCAATGGCAAGTCAGTACTGCAGCAGGGACTGCCCACTATGTCACAATTGTCAGTAAGCCATGTGTTTAGAACATGAAGACAGCCAAGAAATTTCGTAATCGATAATGAAAGTGGTGTTTCGCTTATTTCCTCAAACCTTGGTAGCATTTTAATACCTGGTGTACTCAGTGTCGTTAATATTATTTGATGATTTGTGTGTCTGTTGCTGACAGTTTCAACCAGTAGTCTCAGTTTAAAATGCGACTTGAGTGTAATGTAATGACTGCTGATGCCAGCCATTCACTGTAAGCTAGTTAGATATTCAAATATAAACTTATCTAAGGTAAAAAATAACCAGACACTGAACATGTTTTTGACACTTAATTAGTGATTATTAATGATGCAATCAAAACACTGATGATTGTAAGGTCTGTAATGAAAATGTCTAGGCTGAATGAAGACCTAGATTAATTTGTAACCATCATTTCCACCCCTGATTAACAGCATCAAAAAATAGTGCCAATAATATTAAATACCTAACGCATTAACTTTGACAACACTGTTTCAGATGAAATATTTTTATACTGTTACACTGCATACTGTAGTTATACACACTGTCCACTGCAAGATAATCTACAGATATTTGAATCAGTGCATATTTTCTAATTGTCTGAAATATTAATCCAAAAAAGGTTTCCAAACTCTATTTATCAGCGCAGTTTCATCAGCACATATGGAGGCCATCCAAGGGCATTTGGTGGGATGCTTTGATGGTGATCACTCATTCAACCCCAAGGCCATTATAGCGGGTGTGCTCTGAGCTTAATGAACAGTAAAGAGCGGATGAGACCGAGGGGGGCTTTTGGTCGCATGTCTTCAGGCCGCCGAAACTAATCGCTAGCAGAGGGCATGGGCCGGAGGCTTTGGCTTGACCTATGTGATGTAAAACCTAAATTAAAGAAAAACAGAGATTCTTCTGCCCATCAGTTTAATGGTGCTGCAGCTGAGAGTGAGACACATCATTAAACGAGTGCAAGCAAAGAGTCAGAGGTTACATTTGTGACTTCTTTTATTTTATTTTGAGTCACATAGAATGAAGCACACGAAAAAGCAGCAAATTGTTGACCGACTGCTGAGAGTGGATCATCATTAGGCATCTTCTGTTTATCACTCTCTCTCTCTCTCTCTCTCTCTCTCTCTCTCTCTCCGCACCCCCCCTCTCTTCCTCCCTCCTCCAACATTTTAATCTCTTTTCAATTCCACGTCAACATTAATGTGAAAAACAAACAGTTTAGTGTTAAAAAGCAGTTTTGCTAAATTAAAATGACTGACTTTATTATGAGGTGTCTAAAATTCATTATAAAACAATGGGTAAAACTTTACTTGTGCCCTGCTATAAACATGTCATGGCAAATGTAATAAGTTGTCATGACAGATTGTTTTCAGTAATATAACACCTTCTGAAATGAAAAATTGTCCAATCACGATTTTTTCTCTGTGGCAGCTAGGTAGATACAGCCATGTGAGCTCTGCCATTAGTTAGGCCTTCAGGAGCTTTACTGTAGGCCTTACACATTAGATAACTACCAGCATAATTAGGAACTGACAGTGGAATTAACCAATCATATTTTGATTTACAGTGAGCTGGACCAATTTAGATCACTTTAGGTCACCTGAAAGTATTAGATACATCACTGACTGCTAGTACAACTAATAGTATTACAGTCAGATATTAGAAATGGTAAAGAGCAGTGGCAGCTCTGTGTCAGAGCTCTTTCCTGAAGGAGTCACTATAAAACTGAGTAAAATAGACTTTAGTCTTTTATGTACTTCAGATATCTGAGTTTAATCTAAACCTGCCTAAAAAGATAGCTTAGCACTAACATACTATCAGAAATCCCTTAGCGGTGCTAGCAGAAAGCAGCATTGTCATAAAGGGTTTTTTCATTTAAATTGTAAAAGAAAAAAAAAGAAATACATATTTGGGTAGGCCTGTGAAAAAGTAGGTAGGCCAACTTGGTAGATACAATTTAGAAACATGATTTTGTCCTGCAGTATCATTACATCAGGCTATAGCCTATCACTGACAGCAGTACAGTCATCACCCTATCTATTTAAATGCTTCCACCTTATGATGAAACAAAACAATAACAGTTGACCAAAATGCTGCAACACCCTTCAAAATATGCATCCGCTCAGGACATGCACAACTATGGCCCAATGAAGACAACATACCTGAGTTAAAATCAGACCACAGAGATGTGAAGATGAGGAAAAACAACACAGCAAATGTAAAAACCTAAACCTAAACATAGATTAGCAAAATTATACTGCCATGAAGAATTATATTTATGGACCATTTGTGTCTTTGATGACTCAATGCACTGAGATAGACATCAACTTTTTGAGCACTTTAAGAAAACTGTTGTTTTTGGCCTTGGACGGGGAGAAAACAACATATTCTACTCTACTGGGGACTGAATGTCACTTTTAGAGGTCCCTCAGGTACATCTTTTTACCACAACTTCAAATGAGCTGAAGCAATGGTGGATAGCAACTTAATAAATATCTCTATCTATTTGATTGGCTAGGCCTGTGATCAGTCTAGGAAGGCCCAGGCTTAACTGTGGCTTCACCCCAGTGATAGGACCAATGCTTAGAGTCAGGAGCCCTAATATTATTAATATTATTATTACTATTATTATTATTATTATTACCAGCTTTGGTGACTCCCTGTAGTCCAAAAAGAGTGTTCAAAGGCAGATTTCAAGAAACTGTGTTAATAAACAGAGTTAAGTGGACGTTGTATGGTCAAACGGCTTTCACACCATACCCTAAGGACTATAATCACCCGCCCATCCCAGCCAATTACATTCTCACACACTAGCTTCATTAACCTCATCAAAAGAGCTACAAGCCTCAAGAGACACCAAAAATTTCAATTTAATACTCCATTACCCATAAGCCCATATTCTGGCCTTCTTTTTTCTGCTAGAGCTATTGTGTTGAGACGAACGGAGCCTTTTTCATCCTTATGGTGCTTTTCCGCTTGTCTCCGCTTGACATGATCGCTCCAGTAAGAAGCTGGTCCTCGTTCAGAGAAGGCAGTAATTGCACTGGTTAAAGAGGAACACTGATAATGAAAGTGTTTCATTCGGTGAAAGGATCCTCCAGGTGCTCCATTGTGAAGCTGCTTTTCCATCTCAGTAAGACATGTCAATTACAAAGTTGTCTGCGAAAGAACAATCCTGAAACCTGCCTTAGAAACCGAGGCTTGAACGTTCTCCTCATCCACTTTATCCAGCGCTGCGGTCGCCTGAATAATTCATGCTGAGAAATGAGCGGTTTCGGGGACAATGATGAATGAGGTGATCGTGTATTCACTCAATGCTTTATCACGTCAAAAGAAAAGCCGAGAATGGCAGAGTGACAAAGCTTCTTTCTTGCTCTCCCACCGTGGATGTTCTAACATCAAAATTGTCTTGTTTGCAAAGAAAAATAGCAGCTGACATTTTTAACTGATGTAAAGATGAGGTGTCTCCTTTTCTGTTTCTCGTGATCCCATAATTAACTGTCATGTCTGTGGAATGTCATTCAAAAGAGTGGAACCACTTGTCAGAATAATTGTTATTCAATATCAACGTCCAAGTCATCTCTACCATCCTCAGTTGTACACATTGTAACCACGGCATTACTTACCACGGTTATTTTCCTGCACATTATATGTAAATAATACTATATTTTGCACTTCTGGTTAGATGCTAACTGCATTTCATTGGCTCTGTACCTGTACTCCGCACAATGACAACGAAGCTTAATCTATTCTGGTCTAATCTAATCTAATATCCAGTCATATGCAAAAAGTTTGAATTACATGTTTTGTTGATTTTCTAAGTGAATCTAAATATAGGATTTTTCTGCATATTTTAGTGCAGAGTTTCTGTGTATTTGCTGAGTTTAACATATTGAAATATGAAATATAGCATTACTTTTGCACCTTTTAAATAATACTCATAGATCATTACAGTTTATTGTTTAAATAATAAACTGTGATAATGTATTCATAGTTATTTCTCATCTCACAATTACTATGAATAGCTAATCAGCACTTTATTTTTTTGAATATAAGACATTCTGGACATGAAGTTGGAATTGCTTGGATCATGAGCAGCAGAAAATGCAACCAACTCCTAAAACTGAACTTTGGAGATGTGGAAAAACATCCCTGCAGATTTCTTTTTGGATGCTAAATGCTGAAAAAATATATATTTAGTTGTTGAGGTGTTTGTGTCATTTTTCGGTAAAATATATGTTTTCTGAAACATTATTAACTTTTACTTAATGGCTGTTTTGAATGACTGGAAATAAAATCAATATACATACCCCCTGAAGAGAAATGTACCCAGATGATAAAGTGACTACTTTTTTCTTTTCTTTCTGCAGAATATGTTTGAGAAGCCGTCCCTGCCGGAGTATAAAGTGGCAGCAGTGCAGAAGTCCCGTTTCATCCTGCTCCATTACAGTATCTCTAAGGCGTTGTGGGATTGGATGATCCTATTGGCTACCTTCTATGTTGCCGTGACAGTGCCATATAATGTGTGTTTTACACCATACAATGAGCTTGACACGGCAGCCAGGAGCACCATCGTGAGCGATATTGCTGTGGAGATGCTTTTCATTCTAGGTGAGTTCATGTCAGGATATTGTAACTATACTTACAACCCTAAAGCTCAAGATGGGTTTAAAACAATAGATATTGTAGCAACTTGCTTGCACTATCATGGGAGCACGGGAGGCATGGCCATATAGAACGGCCGTGCACAAAGACTCTCAGGAGCGCTGCGTTTGTGGTAGGAGAGTCATTTATTATAAACAAGTTGTTGTTGTTGTCAGCTTAATGATCTGCACATGTGTTGCTCATGCTATTTTGTGCTGTGCAGATGGGTAATTGGTGCAATGTAGGTGCCTTTGGCAGGAGAGATGATAAGCCTAGAAGTAACCTGCTTGCTCTCTCACGTGTTTCAGTTAGCATTGAGCGGCGGTTCTCCCTTGTTGCCTGTTCAAGAGCATTCACCTTTAAAATGTAATGTATCCCGTGTTTTCTTCTTTAATGATGCCACACTGGTGTCAGAAGTGGGATAGCCCCCCTCCACAAAGGACTGGAGAATAAACGTCCATAAACTGAAGGCGCATGCTGGAGAAAGCCAAGCCTGGCTGAGGACTGAAGAAAAAGAATAAGCGATGCGAGGACAAGCGGCGACATGGCTGGTCAAAGCCAAGAGTCAGGGCTCCAGCACACATGAGCAGCACCCTTGCTGGCACTGATGGGTGGCAGAGGAAGTGGAGCATGGCCAAGGGAGCGCCAATGTTGTTGCCGCCATCCCAGTGGCGTGAGAAATAATGCCACAAGCTGTAAGGAGTTCCACCGTGCATAGGGAGGATGACAACGACTCAGTCTCTCCGCTGCAGTGGGGGACCCACTTGAACTCTGTGAGGTCACCAGGATGGCTCACCTTAAAGGGGGGCTCTTTAGCATCCCACTATTGTTTGATGTGTCATGGGTGTATGGGAGGTGTGGCAGCGCGTATTGTCATGGGTGTGCGGGAGGTGTGATGCTCTTGGGAGAAATTTGTTGTAAATAAATTGTTATTGTTAGCTTAGTGATGTGCATATGTTGTTGTGCTATTCATTGCTAGGCTGTGGGGTAGTTGGTGCAGTGTTAGTGCCTACTGCCAGGTGGTAAAGCTAGAAGTGAACCGCCTGCTGTCTTGGCCCTTCAGCAGTGCAGTGGTGGTTCTTCCTTGCTGTCTGTTCAATAGAGAGCATTCACCTTTAAAGCCCAACGTTTCCCACATCTTCTTTTTCGCTGACGCCAAAATATATTAATGTTTGGAGGAGGCTTGGATCTGGACATGGGTCTTATTGATTATAGGAGGGTTCAGAGGGACATGAGGGTTCAGTTTAGTACAGTTTAATTCAGTTGAGTTTAATTTAAAAGTATGACTCAGAGTGAGAGCTCTTCAATTACTGCAAAAAATTCTCTCCTGCTAAACTGTGAACCCCTTAATCAACTGCGTCAAATAGGTGTGCAGTGGATTGCTTAAGTCTCTCATTACTCTCTCTCATCCAAAAACCTGCTCATTTTAAACATGGTAGACCAAACATGTCATTAGATGAACTAGCATGTCATTGTTGTCCAGAGAAAAACAAGTATCTCCAAAATGGCAACTTTAAAGGAGACAATAATATAAGTTTTTAAATGTCATTCAATGTAAAATAGCCTTATTTCAAGTGATTTTGGACCAATTTTGTTGGTTGTTTCATCATGAAATTTTCACACAGCTGTACTCAAATGGTGAAGAAAAATGAAAAATAAAAAATATATTAAAAGCAATTGCAATAAAAGCAGTCTATATTTTACTTTACTTTATACCTGTTCCCACCTAGGCATAAATTTTATGCCCTGTTTAAGTGAAATTTTAGTTTATGACCAGTTTGTGCAATAATCTTAAAGGCCCAGAATGTTGGGGCCAACTTAACTTATGACTAGTCATATGCACTGTTAGAGGTGAAGGTGTCCCTGGAGCTTGTACTGATCTTAAATTTGAGATTCGAGAGTTTATTTGGAGATTGGATTGGTCTTAAAGTTGACCAAGAGCCTGGGTTTGTCCTAAAGTTGACCAGAAATTTGGACTAGTCCTAAAGTTGACCAAGAGCCTAGATTGGTCCTGAAGTTGGCAATGAGTTTGGATTGATCTTAAATTTGAATGCCTGTTTGGAATTATCTTAATGTGAACCATGAAGTGTTTAGCTTAATTGCTGCCAACTTAATACTAGCATACTGTTGGAATTGGTTTTAAAGTTGACCAGGAGCTTGGATCGGTCCTAAAGTTGACCAAGAGTCTAGAGTGGTCCTAAAGCTGATCAGAAGCTTGGATTGGTCCTAAAGTTGATCAGAAGCTTGGATTGGTCCTAAAGTTGAATATGTTTTGAATGTGATCAATGTGATGTTAAAGTTGAATGTGTGTTTGGAATTTTTTGAAAGTTGACAAGGAGCCTGGATTGGTCCTAAAGTTGACTAGAAGCTTTTCATTGGTCTAAAAGTTGTCCGGAAACATGGATTTGTTCTGAAGTTCACTGGGAGTTTGGATTGATTTTAAAATTGACCAGGGGCTTGGACTGGTCTTAAAGTTGGCTGGGAGTTTGGATTATCTTAAATTTGAGCAGAGTGAATTGGCCCTTTTGTTGACAGGAGTTTTGACTGGTCCTATAGCTAATTTAGTTAAATAAAAAACACAGATCTCCTTAATATCTATGTAGTTTCTCTTTTGCTTAAATCCCCTGCTGCTCAGATATCCTCCTGAGCTAAAGACCTCAGTAATCTGTCTGCTTTTGAGCTTAAGTAAAGATCTCAATAAAGTAACACATTGTGTTCATTTTAGAAGAATCACTGCAGCTTGTCAAGGTGGCCAGTGGCCTAATGGTTGAAGAGTTGAACCAGCAACCAGAAGATTGTAGCTTCAGATCCTGGGTCTTGAGAGAAATAAGGCAAATTAAAGGCTGTGTAATCTACTGAAGCTAATGCTATGCTAAAGGAAAATCATTCTCTTTTTCTGCTTAGATATCATCCTGAACTTCCGCACCACTTATGTGAGCCAGTCAGGTCAGGTGGTCTATGACTCCCGGTCCATCTGCATCCACTATGCTGCTACTTGGTTCTTTGTGGATTTGGTGGCTGCATTACCCTTTGACCTCCTCTACGCATTCAACATCACTGTTGTAAGTGTAAACTACATTCGTATACATTCTGCATCTACTTTACCCTCACTTCTAGCTATGGGGTACAGTTAGAAACTGTAGCTCATCTGTTGATGCACAGTTTGCATCTGCAATCCTGTAACCCTTCATTAATGGCCACTTTCTGACCACAGAGTTATCCCTGGCTGGATTTCTTTTGGTGGTGGTCCACTCTCAGCCTAGCAGTGATGCTGATGTGCGTAAAAACCTCAGAAACACAGCTATGATACACTTGTACCTGCACTATACAAAATACCATGTCAGTGTCACCGCTGTGCTGAGAATGATCCACCACCCAAGTAATATCTGGACAACAGCAGCTCTGTAATGACCAGTGATGAATGGGGTACAGCAGGAGTGATCAATCCTGGTCTTGCACATCTACCACCCTGCAAACGAACACTCCTGATCCAAGTAATAAAGACCTTCAGGGGAATCTGAATATTAGAGTCAGATGTGTTGGATCTGAATTCTACACTGTGGTAGATCTCCAGGATTAGATTTGAGCACCCCTGTGCTAGATGATGGCTGGCAAATTGTGCAGTCTGTATTCGCAAACCTATATGAGAGGAAACCATGACTACTAGATCTAGGCTTTCAGTTCAGGCCATAAATGTCAAAAGATGGTCAGAAACATGTCTACAATAATGCTAATTTCTGTCAGTGCCACAGTGGGTTTCTAATAGTATTTTAGCACTAAGCGTTACATGAACATTCGACTGTTCTAGATTAAATTCAGACATATGAAGTTTGAAAAAAGACATTTCATATGACTTATTTGAAGCTTGTAGTGGATGCATTAACATCTATTTTACTTTGTAGCACATTTATAGTGACTTCTTCAGTAAAGAATCCTGCCATAGATCTGTCATTGTTTTCTATTTCTAAGTGACTTAACCACATTGATCAGACTATTACTCACACCCGCAGTCATTGACTTCCAGGAGTTCCAGAAGGCCTAGAGAAGGGGGAAACAACCAAAATGTTAAGAAGAGCCACTTTGTCCTTTCAATAAAAATCAAGCCACCTTGGGAGCCACAACATTTTATGTCCATTTTACCATCTTGACTGTAAATATATCTCAGTATGTGCTAATGTGCTAGTATAGGATGAAAAATATAATATGAATGAAAACACAGACTTACATTGCTCTGCTTTAATCTTTAGCACAGCTATAACTGCTTTTCTCACATCTCCAGCAGGAAACTTTTCCTCAAAAGTGGAACAGTTTCTTATAAAATGTTTCTTAACGTTTGACTTTTTTTACAAGGCTGAAGTCAGCTTCTCATTTGCCAGGTTCTTGTTCGAATTTTCCCGTTCCACCTTAAATAAATTGCTGCACTATTTAAGTTGGAATGAAAAAATTCGAACAAGAAGCTTGAAAATGAGAAGCTGACTTCAGCTTTGTGACTTTTTAGTGTTTGACAGTTTCTCATTGCAGATTAAACGTATCAGGAAACCAGCTGAGTGCTTATAAACGCAAATAAGTCCATTCGTCTCCAAATTGTCAATGTTCATCTTAAATCTTTCTCGTTGCTTTTTCATTAGCTACTAACAAGGCAAGGGTGTCTGCGTTGTTATGATGACCAGCAGTCTGTGCGGCAACCTTTAGGTTAAAGGGTGAATTAGCAGTTGTGTACATAAAACTCCGGTGTTTAAGACTGTTTTTTGTTAAAACTGTGTTGAACAATCAGCAGAGCTTTATTTCACTGTAAAAGACGATTATTTAATTTTTACCTAAAAAATCTAATTCTGCTGTGGAGCTGCAACAGGGCAGTAAAAGAGCCGCAAGTTGCTGACCCCTGGCCTAGAGTGACCCATCCCACCCATTGCAAATCAAAATGTTTGTAATTGCTAATCTTGAATGGAGAATTTTTTATTGGGCATTTCAGGAATTGAACGCTTTTGTTTTTAGCCATGTCTTTATTTAACAGAAGTCATTATGCTTCTCTGAAGGCCTAGAGGATCCTGAAGGTTCCCCACTGCTGTATATATAGCTTTAACAGTGCAATTTCCAAGTTCATAAATAAGTTACTAAGGGCAGCTATCTATGTATCTGGCCACTTGTGTGTATAGACGTCCCTTGTGCACCTGCTGAAGACGGTGCGTCTGCTGCGGCTGTTGCGCCTGCTGCAGAAGCTGGACCGTTACTCTCAGTATAGCGCAATGGTGCTCACTCTGCTCATGTCCATGTTCGCCTTGCTGGCTCACTGGATGGCCTGCATTTGGTACGTCATCGGCCGGAAGGAGATGGAGCGCAACCACGGCAACGACTGGGACATAGGTATCACGCACACACACACACACACACACACACACACACACACACATACATATACACAGTCAGAAAGTCAAGCAACACTTTTAAGCAAGGCAACACAATTAAGTAAGAAAATGTATGAAATTAGGTACCCCCAATGCCTGATCAATATACTAAATGTTCTGTGGCTGACGCATTCTGATTGTGTGTTATGTACAAAACTGGTGCATGTGCACTTTATGCCTGTGTGCAATGTAAAATGCAATATGCATTTGAAGAAATATTGTGGAAAATGTGAGAGGAACGTCCACTTAGTCTACTTTGAGCAACTTGTAGTGGCTGGCTTTGCATCGATTTCCCTCTTCCTATTATAGCCTTGCATGATTTTACGTTAGGGTCTCAAAAGACGTGTTGTTGACGTGCTTTAGCAGTGTCGCCAGACAGAGCGGATAGTGCTGAAAGAATATTTACCATCAGTTTGAACTCTGAGGACAAGATGTACCTGTGTGAGAAGATGGATTTATATCATGCATTAGCACTGCTGTCTCTTCATCACTGAACTTTCATTTTCACTTTTGTCTTGTTGGCAGCTTCATTACTTCTCTGTTCCTCTCAAACATTGCGCCTCAGTGGGCGGGGCCACACACAGCTTGAGTGATTAGCAACAGTCTTAGTAAATCAAATGTTAATTTCAGGCCTGTAGTGGGAGGATATTGCAGTCGCATCAAGGCACACTTTGCACTGAGCCTCGCTTGTATGGACGTCTGACCCTCAGTATTTTGGGAATTGTAACCTAAACAGCTGCACTAGGCGGACCTTGATGTCATCATTGCGGCTGCGACCTTAAAGTTTATGAGTTTATGCAAAACTGGGCAGTCGGTCACATGTATTTCCATCATGCATCAGTTTTTTGTGGTATTAAAAGTCAATACAAAATACAATATAAGTTAAAAAATCACATATACACCACCTATCAAAAGTTTGAGGACATCTTGCCTTCTTTTCCATCAATTTTTAATATTACTTTTAATGAAGTAAGAAAAATTCCCTGCAAGCTTTTGTTTTCATAAAACAGCTATGGGTACATTTATCTAGAACATTCAGCTGAGCTAAAACTGTCTTCATCAGTATGATATTTTTCCTGAGTTTGCTTTTCCACACTATATATTTAATATGAAGCACATAGTGAAACTTGGTCCAAAAGGTGGTTTAAACACCTGAAACATTTGAGTTCTGATGAGTGCATATTATATAGTACATATTCTGTGTACATACATATAGGACAAATTTTTATCCTTTATCCTATTTTCTTTTGACTCGATCCCTAAATACGGAAATACAGATAAATTACAGTGGAAAATACAGTGGAGAAATTCTGTTAAAAAATGCAGATTTTCAATGTAAATAGTATTATTCCAAACGTAGGACTTTTGTCAATTGTTCTTTCGGTTTTCCAGTTTTTGGCAATAAGAAATATGGCAACAGTATGTAAACTTACTGCAAACTAACAAAGCAGGCTCATTTGTATTAAACATATTGCAAAAAACTAGGTGTCCCCAAACTTACAGTATACATACACACACAGAGGCCAGTATCTAATTTTAGCATAGGGGCCCTTTGGCAATTGCCTCACTCTCAGTGTTGCATGAAATGTATGGATTTCCCAGTTCTCATATATAATTGCTGTGGTCTATGGGGCAAAATCATTAGAAAGATCATTTGTGAAGGTTGCCTGAAGGTTATTTGCAAAAGTGCAGGGCTTTGTCTTTTGTTCTGCCTCTCCTAGGAGAGTTCAGGTGAGCAATTATAGCTGAGGGTTGCTCATCCCACATGGACAAGGTCTAATTCTGTTCCATCTCTCTTGGGTAGTTTAACCTCTGTCGGTCGGAATTTTCTATCATGAAGGTAGGAAAGAGTAAATGTGGATTCATCAGGCAGAAGAGGTTAAGAAAATGCAATATGTGAGTCTATTATGCTCTTAAATAAATTTTAATGAGTTCTTGATGAGATGGGGTTATGGGGATCGCTCTAGATGGGATCATTTAAAAAAGCATATCATGAAAAATAGTTCATATTTTCTTTTAGGTAATAAGATTCTGATGTAGTATGTAAATGTTGAAGTTTCAAAACGTACAGTTCACCCCCCAGTCTATTCAGTCCATATACGGGATCTAAGCTGCGAAAACTGCCTATATTGAATTCATTGTAGTTGTGATGTCACAACCGTAAATACATTTGTATATAGATAGACAGATAGACAGATGGACGGATGGACGGACAGACAGACAGATAGATAGATAGATAGATAGATAAATAGATACCTTATTGACCCCAAAGAAAATTTAGCAACCATGAACCAATATGACCAACCATTCAGCCCACAGTGGTTTAGCTTCATCCTGCAACAGTTTAGTCCCACCATTTAGTCTACAATAGTTTAGGCCCACCCATTCAGCCTACAGCAGTTTAGCCCCTCCTATTCAGCCTATAGCAGTTTACCCCCTCCTATTCAGCCTACAGCAGTTTAGCCCCTCCCATTCAGGGTACAGCTGTTTAGTCCCATCCATTCAGCCTACAGCAATTTAGCCCCTCCTATTCAGCCTACAGCAATTTAGCCCCTCCTATTCAGCCTACAGCTGTTTAGTCCTACACATTCAGCCCACAGCAATTTAGCCCCTCCTATTCAGCCTACAGCAATTTAGCCCCTCCTATTCAGCCTACAGCAATTTAGCCCCTCCTATTCAGCCTACAGCAGTTTAGTCCCTCCTATTCAGCCTATAGCAGTTTAACCCCTCCTATTCATCTTACAGCAGTTTAGCCCCTCCCATTCAGGCTACAGCAGTTTAGCCCCTCCCATTCAGCCTACAGCAGTTTAGCCCCTCCCATTCAGCCTACAGCAGTTTAGCCCCTCCTATTCAGCCTACTGCAGTTTAGCCCCTCCCATTCAGGCTACAGCTGTTTAGTTTCACACTTTCAGCCTATAGCAGTTTAGTCCCACCCATTTATCCCACAGCAATTTAGCCCCTCCCATTTCCATTGAAGTGATGTGGAGTGCTGTTCCTGCACACAATCTGTAGTGAAGTAAGTGGAACACAAGATGTCAGGAAACAATTAAACGTTGGCTGTCAGGAAACAAATGGATCATTGTAGCCTTCAAAAGGATCCATCTGAAAATAGTGGCTGAGGTTTATTTTTTCCCCATGTCCAAGGTTTTTAGCTTGTACTGAACAGTTCGTTTCACATTTTAGCCTGGATGCTTTATGAACAAAACCTAGTACAGGGCAGCCAATCAGAACAAGATAATTTGCATATATCAGTCTTAAAAGGTAACAAAAACAGCCCGTTTAATTCTAAGAGACAATGAGAGGTTGGAAAACGGTCATGTAAAATTTAAGTATGAGAAAAAAATGACACAATTGCTAAGGGGGGAGATCAAGGAAAAATTCATTAAAGCATTACAAAATCTGTTGCCTGTTGTGTCCCAGGTTGGCTGCATGAGTTGGGGAGACGTTTGGAGACTCCGTACCTGAACAGCACGGTCGGCGGCCCCTCAGTTCGGAGCGCCTACATTGCCTCTCTATACTTCACCCTCAGCAGCCTCACCAGCGTGGGCTTTGGAAATGTCTGTGCAAACACCGACGCTGAGAAAATCTTCTCCATCTGCACCATGCTCATTGGGGGTATGCAAAAATACACCTAGTACACAGCACCTGGCCAACTGGATCAATAGATCAAGATGACTTTTGCTTCTTCTGCTGCATCATACATCCCAGAATGCAGCAGACTCTAAAACTGGCTTCACATGGAGACACCTTTATGCAACTAGTTGCATGTTTCAAGCTGCATGGAATATCATTTCCAAACAGCTGTGGTGTAAAACAGACATATGCACAGACAGGCCCCTGGGGGCTTTAGCCCCTGCCCCTGCACCCAGACTGTACATATTCTGCCTTCGTGGCCGGCATGTATAGAAATAGTGTTTCATATTGTTTCTAACATTGTTTAAGAAGTGTTCCAGCAAGGCTTAGCTTAGCTTTGCCCAGTGGGGAATGAAAATGCAGACCTATACCATCTGCTTGCATTCAAAACATTTGGAATCATCATTCATTTTGTTGTAGGGAAATTTAAATTTTTAATCTTTAACCCTTTTTACAGGACATATAGTGGCCATTCCACAAGCGGAATGGAAATTGACTCGGGTATTTGTAATCAATGTTCTTCCCCATAACCCTGTTATCAAATTAACTGGACAGTGTTTGTTCTCTGTGTATGAACTGTTGTGACTCTGTGTTGAGCTGCTAGTGAGCAGTGAGGACACAAGTGCAGCTTTACTTTTATAAAAATTGTGTACAACTGCCACAATAAAACAAAACAAAAACACTTTCCATAGAAATACGTTCAATGTTTTTAAATAAAAAATGCATAGTTCAAAAACTGAGATGCTCCAAAACAGGTGGAAACTGCATATTATGGCTGTTGTTAAAGGGGGTTAAAGATGGAACTTTTGTAAAAGTAATTTTGCAACTATATAAGCACAACAGTTATGAAACAAACATAATAGCAGAACATTTTGGTGTAATGTTACTAAGGATTAAAATATAAAATCTATAGTTTAGCACTTCAAAAAACTGTATGTCTCTTGCTGTCAATGAATAATTTTTATGACTGATATAGTGTGAAATATACACCAATGCGACAAAACATTATGACAGATAAAGGAAATAACATTGATTATCTCCGGTGCATGCCAGAGTTTGGAATACATTACACCATAACCAAACAGTCATTTTTCATTGTTGACCTACTGAATGCCGGAGATATAGGCAAACATGAAGACCTGAGCCAGGGTCAAAGAACTATGGCCAGATGGATGGAAACCCTGAGTGCAGGTCTTCATGTGCACATCAGTTTGACACATGCCACCTACTTAAACATCGCTCTGGACCAAGCACAACCTTTCATGGCCAATGGGAGTGGCCTCTTTTAGCAGGATAATGAGCCCTGACACACCAGTCATATTGTTTAGGAATGATTTGAGCAACATGACGAAGAGTTCAAGGCCTCGGAATTCTCCAGATCTCAATCCAGTTGAGCGACTATAGTATGTGCTGGAGTCAGATCTGCGGCAGGTCCACCTCACAACTTACAAAACTTAAAGGATCTGCTACAAATGTCTTGGTGCTAGATACCACAGGGCATCTTTAGAGGTCTTGTAGAGCCCATGCCGTGCATCAGATCTGTTTTGGCAGAATGCATAGGGCTAATGGCATATTAGATAGGTCATAGTGTTTTGGCTGATTGGTGTAGCTCAATATGGGGACAATGTCAAGCTTGTAACAATAGACGCACCCTAAACCAAACATTCTCCATCAATCTGAAGAACCGTTTAAGCATGCAAATGGTTCTATATAGAGTCATGGTTCTATATAGACCAATTGCCTTTACTAAAGAACCCTTGAAGAACTTTCTTTTTCAAGTGTGTAAAACCTGTAATGTGCATCACCTCCAATTCATTGTTAACAAGTGGTTTAAACAGGGCTGTTATTCATGCCAACTGTCACACTTTATGTCCACTGTCTGACCTGTTGCCATAACCTTTCTCCCTGCAGCGCTCATGCATGCAGTAGTGTTTGGGAATGTGACGGCCATTATCCAGCGCATGTATTCACGCCGATCGCTCTACCACACACGCATGAAGGACCTGAAGGATTTTATCCGTGTCCACCGGCTCCCTCAGCAGCTGAAGCAGCGCATGCTTGAGTATTTCCAGACCACGTGGTCCGTCAACAATGGCATCGACGCCAATGAGGTGAGTACCTACGTCCGAAACTCTACTCAAGCTGACTTTTATATTCGTAAACGTTGTTGTGTATTTACTGAATATTCCCTAAAGAAGTGTCTAAAAAACTTTGCTTCTTCAGTTTATCGTCTGAGCTGTGATGCTAGTATAGCTAACTATAGGCAAACTGCATATAGTGCATGATCAAAGAGTAAACACCACTTGCCATTTAGAGTCTTGCAAAGTATTCAACTCCCTTAAAAGTTAAAAGGTTTGTCTGGATTACAAATGACATTTAGATTGCTCCAGCCCATATATTTGTTTCGAACCAATTTGCTCTTAAAGTACATTTTCAAAGTCAAAATACATTACATACAGTATAAAAATGTTCCTCACATAAGTATTCAATTCTTTCAGACTAGTACTTAGTAGAACAACCTTTCACCACAATATCAGCTTTAAGTCTGTTGGGGTACGCTTCTACCAGCTTTGCACACTGTTTGGGAGAGATTTTCACCCATTCTTCCTGGAAGATGTGTTCCAGGTTGTTCAGGTTGGTTGGCATAGGATGATGCTTGTTGACACCAATTTTCAAACAGATTCTCGATTGAATTGAAATCTGAATTTTGACATGGTCATTGTAGAACTTTCAACCCTTTGTTCTGTTGTTCAACAACTCCTGTGCTGCTTTGGCCTTGCGTTTGGGATCACTTACTGTCCTGTTGAAGTTTCTCTCAAGCTTTATATTTTTTAGCAGACTAAGGCAGTTTGTCTTGCAGTATCTTCCTGTATTTTGCACCATCCATTCGTCCTTTAATTTGAACAAGATGCCCAGTCCTTGATGAGGAAAAGCATCCCCACAACATGATACTGCCACCCCCATGCTTCACTGCTAGGATGGTGTTTGTTGAGGAATTGCTATTGCCAGATTTGTGCCACACATAGCATTTTTAATTTTGGCCAAAAAGCTTCATTTCAGTCCCATCTGACCACAAAACCTTATGTCACATTTTATCTGGGTCACTCTGATGCTTCCTGGCAAAATCCAGACATGCTTTGATGTGTTTTTTGTTCAGTAATCGTTTCTTTCTAGCCACCCAGCCATACAGGCAAGTTGTGTGCAGAGCTCTTGATAAAATTGACTGGTGCACCTTCACTCCAATCTCAACCACTGAACTCTGTAGCTTCTTCACAGTGATTGTTGGCCTCTCTCTGGCCTCCCTCACAAGTCCTCTTCTTGCTTTGACAATGAGTTCTGATGTTTGGCCTTGTCTAGGGCAGTGCCTGGATGGTATGCTGCAGCTTCCATTTCCTCCCCTTGATCCAACAGAGCTCACTGCAACATCCAAATGCTTATATATTATTTTGTAGCCTTTTTCTATCTTGTGCATGTCTATAACTTTACCTCTAATTTCCTTAAAATGCTATTCAGTCTTCCTTTTCACAGCTTTGCTTCAGATTCAGTGCTGTTTGAATTAAGGGGGTCTTTTATTCAGAAAAGGTATTTTTTATTGATTCACAGGCCAATTGTAAGCCATATGTACTTATTTAGGGCAATATCTTTCATCTGTGTAAACCTGGAGCTTCCACAGCACAGGGGTGGAACACTTATGCAAACAGCATTTTCACTTAGTAATTTTATTCTCAGAATATTTTCTTGCACAAAACCAATATTACTTTATATAAAATAATGAGGGTCAGTCTTTTGAATTGAAATATTATGCAGCACAAAATATCAAAGTTCTATTTGTAATCCAGAAGAGTTTTGGATTACAGTTAAAGTCACTTTTGAATGCTTTTGCAAGGTACCATAGATGACACCTGACCCCTGACCTTTCTCCTTGTGGTCATTCAGCTGCTGCATGATTTCCCAGACGAGTTGCGGGCAGACATAGCCATGCACCTGAATAAGGATATCCTGCAGTTGCCGGTGTTTGAGGGGGCGAGCCGTGGGTGCCTGCGCTCTCTCTCCCTGCACATTAAAACATCGTTCTGCGCCCCGGGGGAGTATCTGATCCGCCAGGGTGATGCCCTGCACGCCAACTACTTCGTCTGCTCAGGGTCACTGGAGGTGCTGAAGGACAGCATGGTGCTCGCCATACTCGGTTTGTACTGTTTCCACTACACCAGAGGCCTTGAAATCCAAATTCGGTATCCAGTTCTGCGTTTTGCACTGGAAGGTAAGACACTGGGCTGCCAGTCAGTTACATCGGCAGTCCAAAAGACCCTTTTTACAGTTCTATATTTGACACAGCAGAAGTCATCATAGTAGGGAAAACATTACAGTAGTGGTGGTGGTTACAAATGAGAATCTGGACACAGTCCTTCTTTATAATGCCTCTGATGTAGAGGACTGAGTTGTTTCATTGACCTTATTAATATATTTACCTAATTTTCTCCTGTTTAATGTTAATATTGTCTTGTACAGTTTTCAATGATGCAGATGACCAGATCAGTGTTCCTATGTCAGCTAACTGATGTGACAATGTTTAATTACTTCAAAGTTTGAAATATCAGATTCTTTAAAACAGACAGATTCTTTAAAACCATACTACTCACCCATCCAACGCTGACTCATCAGTAGTCTACTTTTAATGTGGACCTTGTCAATCCTGCTTGTCTCTGCCCTACCAAAGGAACGACGCCTTTGTAGAGCTAAAGTCCTTAATAAGGATGTATGAATGTGCGAGCCCTCTTCGTTCCCATTCGTAAATGCTTCCACAGCTGTAATGCTATGACGGTTTCCATTGGAAGTGTGAAAAGGGTCTGTTAACTACCATTGATTACAAAGTTCTGGACCGGATACTCCATTCAACGACTGCATAAGATCTCTGCTCTATACGTTCACTTCTGAGTCAGATGGAAAGGTTTGGTTTTAAATAATTAAATACATTATTTTACTCACTTATGTCATTTCAGGAAAAGGGGATCTGATTGGGTCAGACCTTCCAGGGCAGGATCATGTGATCAAAACGAACGCAGACGTGAAGGCCCTGACCTACTGTGACCTGCAGTACATCAGTGTGAAAGGGTTGAAAGAAGTCTTAGAGCTTTACCCCGAATACGCCAGTGTCTTTACCGCAGACATCCACCATAACCTCACATACAACCTGAGAGAGGGCAGCGAGGCTGAGGTAAACACGCACACACACACACACACACTTATACACACCAGTGGTGTAGCCAGAATGTCATCTTAAAGAGGGGGGGGGTCTTGAAGTACTGGCCAGTATGGCTAAATATATTATAGTATGATTAAATTTTCTGATGGTATATCCTTCACTTTTTAATACCAAATATTTATAACAACCAAAGTAAATCTGAAATATTTTTATCGTTCAAAATAGTAAAAACAAAATTGAACAATACACAGACAGCTGTGTAAGCATTTCTGCTTACAGTTTACTAGCAGACTAAAATGGACTACTTCAGATGCAGAGGACTAGACAGCAGGAGGTGATTGAGGCTCTGCTGCATTTTCATTTTCATTTGAAATGTGACTTCAACATCCCTGAATCAGCCACTCAGCTAAAGGGACTAACATATATTACTAAAGGAGTTTGCATGTTGTGTTTTCTGCGCTTATTTGTGGCACACTGGTATAGGGGTTATGACAAAAGTCATACCTGAGGATGAATTTCAACAAGTGCACCACCCATAATTAGGGCCTCATTACATGTTGGGGAGGCCGGCTAGGAAGACATTGTTATAGTGAGGATGACAACCACAAGCTAGCCTATTTCATTGTGGCCTCCATAACCAGAGAGATAAAAATTTAAATTTCAAACACAACACACAGTTGCTGACCTCACATTCGTCTGCCTAGCTGACAGCATACCACAGTGGGTACTGTCTAATTAACCACAGACCTACCTTTTACAGTAATGTGGTGTAGTCTGGAGTGAATGGCTGAAGACTGCAGTTTTCTCATCATTTTTTCACAGTTTTGATCTAGGTTTTCTTTACCACAGTTAGCTTTATTACTTACCTAGCTCATCTGCAGAAACAGTGGAGCAGAGTAATCCTGTGCTTAAATGTTGGTGGTGAAAAACATTTTCCATTCTTTAATGCAGAATTGCTGCAAAACAGTGATTAGGCTTTGGGATGAGGTTGAGGTTAGGGTTAGGATTAGGGACCGGGTTAGGGTTAAGATTAGGTTTTGGGATAAGGTTAGGGTTAGGGTTAGGATTAGGGCCAGGGTGAGGGTTAGGATTAGGTTTTGGGTTGAGGTTAAGGTTAACGTTAGGATTAGGATTAGAGCCAGGGTTGGGATTAGGTTTTGGGTTGAGGTTAAGGTTAGTGTTAGGATTAGGGCCCGAGTTAGGGTTAGGTTTTGGGTAAGGCTGGGTAAGGTTAGGTTTTGCATAATGGAAGTAACATATTAAGAACACATCTACTTAATGTAAGTAATGTATCAACAGAACATCTACAAGATATTTACTTCAGTGTATTCAGACGCTTCACTACTGGTACTTCACTGATATGTTGTTGATGTGTTATGACTGATAATCTGTTAAGAGTTTATTAATCATCTGCAAAGGACCACTCAAAATAAAGCCTTACCCAAAAATATTGTTAAGCTGTCCATAATGGCAGTTTTGACTGGAAATGAAAAGACCAATGAAAATGGTCTCTGACTTTTGCACAGTACTGTGCATCCAGTAATTTAGTGTTTTCTCTTCAAAATCTCACAAAAGTGTGTGAAGGTTTTTTTCATGAATCCCATCATTACCTTCTCATTCATTCCAAACGCAGTGTGGTTAATTGATTATCAGCGCTAAAGTTCATCCAATTGTACTGAATGTCCTTGGGCGACAATAATCACAGCAAATTGTGTTTTCGCCTTTGTGAAATTGGAAAAGCAAATTACAAAGCTAGAAAAGAAACAGTCTTTCTGCTCTTTGCTTCACCTGTTATTTTCACTGTTGCGTTGCACAGTGATGTTTTTCTCTTCAGCCATATGCTACAACACTGGACAGATTCCCAGTCAGCATCATTATCAACATGATTATTTGATTATTTTATACAATACAGCAACCTTTTTAGCAGAAACAGAGAGAGATGGAGAGAGAGAGAAGATATCAAATAACAAAAAGAACCAATTGTCAGTCTATTATAATGAGTGTCAGTTACCCTCCACTTCAGCCCAAACCCATTTTCGTAACAAAAGATTGAAAATGTGGTTTTTATGCAAAAGGTGTGGGAAATCATTTCCCATCTGTCACAGTTTAATGAAGGTGTTACTGGTTGTAACAGGTGGGTTTTTTGTCTTTGTAGGGTCTCACGAGGTTTTCACGTTCCCCCAGATTCCCTCATGTAAGTGAACTCTATAATTATCTTTTCTTTACTGTAACCATTTCTACTTCTCATACAGACAATGCATATATAAGCTCCCTGTCCATTCACTGACCACTTTATTACAAATTCCTCTGCTCACTGGCCAATTTATGAGTTCCAGCTCCCTTATAGGTCCACTATGTGGGCCATTCTACCGAATTGGTTCAAAGTGAGAGTTGAAACACATTTCAGACGTTTAACTGAGTTAGACTTCAGACTGAAATTCTTTTGCTTTGAGTGAGCCCTGTACCTTAATTATGCTTAATTTATTAAATAAATGATTGATCGTTTTGTCACTATGAAAACAGTCATAACCATACTGGAACCTTACCCAATGTTTCAGTAGTGATTGTTTCGGTACTGACAATTTTAGCTAATTTTGAGCAGAACTCAAACATGCTAGCCTGTACATGACTAGCAAACGCAGCTTTGAACAGTTGTGCACACAAAAAAAGAATATTTTTCATTAAAACATGGAAAATGTGTTTCGGTAGTGACAGTTCTTAATGTAACACATTGATTTTCAGACTTTGGGACACACTTACTTCAAAACAATGGGATCTAACTGCTCACCATGTGGCCATGAGGGACAGGGATGCAGCCTCACTTCCTGCTCTAAAATGCAGGGGTGTGGCTAAAATAAGACTCCACCTACAGACTAAAACTCTTTGTGTTTCAGTAGTGACATGAAAATGTGGCACAGCATTTTTTAAATAAAGTTATTTTTTTTAAATTTAAACTCATGATAAAATCTAAATGTTCAACTTCACTTTCAAAGAAATCAAAAAGATCTTAACAAAATAGGAAAAAAATTCAAAAAAGTTAGTATTATTTCCTGAAATTTAAATTTAGGGGGTAGGTTTTGCGACAGACACCACCAAATAGAAAGTACAAAAACCTATAAATGATCATTTTTGTATATATATGTTTAGCTTATTACTATCTTTATTAATGCCTTGGGTTCAAATAGATCATAATATAATATAAGACATGTAAATGTCTAAGGTCTGAATACCTCTTTGTTTTTTTTTAACTGTGGGAAGCAGTGAGAACTAAATCAGTAGAATGGTCCATATATGCATGCAGGAATTTGGAGCTTTATACACATCATTGTCACTGTTAGTTTGAGAGTGGTCCACCACTCAAAACCATCCAGTTATTCAGCTCTTAAATTCTTAAATACAGTTACAGCTGTATTAACAGTTGCCTTTTTTCCCATTGATATATATAAATATATATATATATATATATATATATATATATATATATATATATATACATATATTTATATTAATACATATATTTATGTGTTGTTATATATATGAAACTTACACAGCAGAAGAGATGCTTGTAGGTAGTGTAATTTTTTGTGGAGTATTACTCATCCGGGCTGGGGTTCTATTCCTAGACCTGCGTCTGGGTTAATGTGGCTCATTTTCAGTGGCACTTCGGTCCAGGTTTTCTCCGGGGGGTCTAACGGCAGGACTTCCCCCCGAAGGCGGAAACTCATTACTAGCTGAAGCTTTGTAGAAAGCATTGCATGCTTATTTCCCACCCTACCTCAGGGCCCACCTCCGTAACTGGGTCAGACGCTTTTTTTAACCGCCCGGGTCAAGCGTTCTGTACAGTGGAACACTTGCCTTCGTGCAATTACATCAGCAGCCTGCTTTACCAAACCACATGAAATTTTAAGAAGGCCTTCTTCAGCAATACATATGATGACTTTTATGACTTTTATTTTCTTGCCATTACTCAGTCCAACTTTCAAAGCCCCAGATATAAAAACCCAGACACTTGTGAAGTTATAACTCTCCTTAAGTGGGGTGGTCTCTTTAGGAGCTCCACAGAGTCCCACAAAAAAATCTTCTTAATAACTAAAACTTGGTTTAACATGCTGTTAGTGTCAGAGACATTATAAAGGAGGTGGAGACAGTTTGTTTCCTCCTTGGTGCTTTATTGTTGGGATTTCCAGCGCTGTGGTGATGTGTGACAGGTTGGAGTTGACTGAGGGGAAATCTAGAGGGGGTAACCCAAGAGTGAGGAAGCACTAAGCTGACCCACAAGCTCTAGTCTTGTGAAGATGCTATCTGAGACAAAACAATGAAGGCAATAAAAAACACAATTATATTATTATAGATGCCACCCAAGAGGTCACAGTCTAAGGGCAAAAGGGCAAGGGCTCAAGTGCCCCCTGGGGTCTATCTACACATGCGCATGTGTGTTTGCAACATTTGTAACTTCCCCAACTTTCAACACCCCAAACCCCCAAAAAAGGCAAATGCGTTTTCAGTCAATTTACCTTGATAATTACCAAGAAAAGTGATCAATTTAAGCTTAAATTTTGCAAGCTGGTTCCTCACAGCAATATAAGACTCCAGAATTAGATCCCATGTCAAAACATCCTGCTATCTGCTATTGATTAGTCAGGGTGTCGATCTAGACTGATCCTCTTCCTTTTCCTATACCTTTAGAACAATCGGGTGGACTCCGGCGCATCAACAGACAGCAAACTTCCCTCCATTGTAGAAACAAGTGGTGATCCGGATGATTATTATCACCTCTCTCCAGCCTCACGGTCTCGCCGGAATCTTCTCCTGCCCAGCCTGAGCAGTCCAGTACGCCGCACGTCCCTGGGGAACCTTCTGGGCGATGAGCTGCGGCAGTTTAATGCCCTTCGCCGCTGCCGTTCACCAGTCAGAGGCAGCTGTAAAAGCCCCTCGCCCAAACCGCAGGCCAAATTGGACCACCAGCCACATACTGCACCCTCCACTCCACCTAATAGCGCTCACAGTGCCCAGAGCCAGGCGGGCAGCGCAGCACGCAAACCTACAAAACTGCTCATCCCCACACTCAGCTGCCTCAGACCCCCCGACCTCAGCCCCAGGTACGACTTAAGATTGCCCTGCCTCATTGCAGTGTTTGACACTGTAATATCTTAATGTTCAGTTAACTTTCTAGTTTAACATTAGGTGGACATATGTGTATTATATTATAGCATAGTATGTACACCAATCAGGCATAACATTATGACCTCGTTTCTACACTCATTGTCCATTTTATCAGCTCCACTTACTATATAGGTGCACTTTGTAGTTCTACAATTACATACTTTGTTAGCCCCCTTTTACCCTGTTCTTCAATGATCAGGACCCCCATGGACCCTCACAGAGCAGGTACTATTTGGGTGGTGGGTCATTCTCAGCACTGCAGTAACACTGATGTGTCGGTGGTGTGTTAGTGTGTGTTGTGCTGGTATGAGTGGATCAGACACAGCAGTGCTGCTGGAGTTTTTAAACACTGTGTCCACTCACTGTCCACTCTATTAGACTCTCCTACCTTGTCAGTCCACCTTGTAGATGTAAAGTCAGAGACAATAGCTCATCTGCTGCTGCACATTTTGTGTTGGTCATCGTCTAGTCCTTCATCAGTGGTCACAGGACGATGTTGGTTGGATATTTTTGGTTGGTGGACTATTCTCAGTCCAGCAGTGATACTGAGGTGTTTAAAAATTCCAGCAGCACTGCTGTGTCTGATCCACTTGTACCAGCACAACACACACTAACACACCACCACCATGTCAGTGTTACTGCAGTGCTGAGAATGATCCACCACCTAAATAGTACCTGCTCTGTGAGGGTCCATGGGGGTCTTGGGGGTAAAAGGGGGCTAACAAAGTATGCAGAGAAACAGATGGACTACAGTCTGTAATTGTAGAACTACAAAGTGCACCTATATAGTAAGTGGAGCTGATAAAATGGACAATGAGTGTAGAAACAAGGAGGTGGTCATAATGTTATGCCTGACCGGTGTATATTATATTAGAAACTATACATAAACTTGCACTGCTAAAAAGACGTACTCAATAAGTCAAAAAATGTATCCTGCCCTTCTTCGGCTCCAGCACCCCACCGCGACCCAGAAGGATAAGCAGTTTAGATAATGTATGTATGTATGTATGTATGTAATATAGTTGGGGTGGGTGGTAAGGCAGGTACACCCTTAAAAAAGAAGGTTCTTCAAGGGTTCCTTAGTAAAGAAAATGGTTCTATATACAACCATGAACACTCAAACGCATCATGAAAAGGCTCTTCTGATTGATGGAGAATGTGCTGTAAATGGTACTATATAATAGTGTTCTTCTATTGTTACAAGCTTGACATCACAACAATAGAAGAACCTGTTTCAGAAATGTTCTATACAGTACTATCTACAGCATGTTCTTCATCATGCAAAGGGTTCTTTGAGTGTTCATGGTCCTATATAGAACCATTTTTTTTACTCAAAAACCCTTAAAGAACCATCTTTTTAAAGAGTGTAGGTCGGTCCATGAGGTGCTTTGCATCTAATAAAACTCTGCCAATGGAGTGAATAAAACTGACTTAGTAAGATTTCTTGAAATAAGCAGTAACGTGTAGATCTTCATGCTAAATATTTTAAAACTAGAAGGAAAGTAAGGAAATATGTACACACAGCATTTTAGATAAAGTAAAATACACATCTAAAATTCTGTTTCTTTGGAGAATAAGATGAAGTGGCTACATATAAGTATATTTCTCTCTTTCAAGTCTCTTAGTAAGACTTGGATGAGAGAAATATACTTTTTCTTAGAAATCTTAGACTTATTTTGTAACATTTTTCTTCAATTTAAGACAAGAGACAAGTTTGCTTTCATCTTTTATCAATTTCAGATCGGACGTCAATCCATCTCAATGAGCAGCTTGTAACTTAGACCCCTAAATTCAGCATTACAGAGGTTTTCAAATAAATTATTAAATACCACTGCAAAATCCTCGAATAAGACAATGTAAGAGGAGGCTAGTTCTTGAAACAAGAGTGGAAAAGCCCTAGTTTAACTACTGCTGCTGTGCTACTGACACAATGATCAAAATAACTTGGAGTTTGTGCATGTTTTGTGCCATAAACTACTTAAAATAAGACAACATTTCTAATCAAGGTAATTGTTGTGATATGAATTAATTTCACTTGTTAAAATTTTGGGGTCTTTTCTGCAGTGGGTCCTCAAAAGTCACTAATCAAGATGACAGTACTTGTCCATGAGTTTCTAACTGTCTGTCATCTTTGACAGGGTGGTTGATGGGATTGAGGATAACGGGCGTGTGTTTCACTTCAGTGCCGAGCACAGTGGGAGCAATGCTACTGCTGTGGAATCCAGAGGTAATTAAGACATCTTTCTAAATGAGTTCGGCCAGAAATCTCATTTATCTACAGTGCTATGCAATTTATTTAATTTCCAGTCAAAATGGCCATTAGAACATTGTATTTATTTTTTCAGCAGCAAGAAAAAATTTATCAGAGGAATTAATATAATATTTTTTCAGTATTCCACTCCTCCAAAGTAAGGCATTTTAACTGAAAATTAAATAAACAAAAAACTGGTTTTGGAACTGGTTTCTCCCTTTATCCCAAATGCAATCGATCAGCCAAGACATGCTTGGTGTCTGGAGTTTACTTACTGTTCATTATCTTCTGCAGTTTTTAAGGTAGAGCCATAGGGCTGTGCGATCGTAGAGCCTATACAGGAATAGTTTGCTTGTGCTTTCGCATATGCAATTTCAATGCAGCATTCATTTAAGCACAATTTCACAGCAGCAACCACCTGGGATATCATAGTAACAGCCTAGCAACATCTTAGCAATCACCTGAGATAACATGGTAATGGCCTAGCAACACCTAGCAATCACCTGGGATACCATAACCTTGGTCTAGCAACACCTTAGGGAATAACCTGGGATACCATAATAATGGTCTAGCAACACCTTAGCAACCACTTGGGATACCATAATAGCATCCTAGCAACACCTTAACAGCCACTCAGGATACCATAATAATGGCCTATCAACACCTAGGATAGCACAGCAACTGCCTAGCAACACCTTAAGAACCACCTGGGATACCATAACAGCATCCTAGCAACACCTTAGCAACCACTCAGGATACCATAATAATGGCATCCCAACACCTGGGATAGCACAGCAACAGCCTAGCAACACCTTAGCAACCACCTGCCACATTGTGACAACAGCCTAGTGACACCTTAGCAATCACCTGGTATGCCACAGCAACAGCCCAGCAACACCTCAGCAACCAACTGGGATAACATAGCAACCACCTGGGGTAGAGTAGCAACAGCTTTGTCAAGTCAACTTTGTTCACAAACTCTTCCTCTCTAAGATAGTTTTCCTATAGCTCCCATAACTAAAAACAGTGTGTGATGATTTAGGCATGGTGGTTTGCATAATGCTAATTGGTGGGGTGTGAGCTTCCTTTACCTCTTAGCTACATTAACCTTGTAGCTGCAGTGCAAAACTAAAGAAGCAAACTAAAGAAGATGCCAGACGTCTTGGATGATCGACTACATCTGGGTTAATGTTAGAAACTGTATGTTTGCTATTTTGCTGAACGATCACTTTCACAGAGCCCACAGCGACGTTGTGCGCAGGTGAATAATGAGCTGAAGGGTGAGAGAAGTTCTCTCAGTGCAGGAGGCAAAGCTGTGGGGGGTGACATTGAGAACAGCTGTCAGAGGCTCCAGCTGCCAAACTCCATCAGCACTGAAGAGGGTGGACGGGTCAGGGCAGGTCAGGAAAGAAAGGGAGAGCAGGAGGAGTGTCTGGGGTCGCGCAGGGTCAATAATGGAAAACTCCACTGCGGAGTTTCTCTAATGAGCCGTGTCTCGTTACAGAGGCACGCTGTTGGGTTTGCTTTCATTATCGCTTCGTCTTTCATTTCATTTGTATTTTTGATAAGAATAATTGAAAAAAATTAATAAACAAATAATGGTACATCTTATTTATGTGCTGTTGTTTATAAACAACACCATAAAGTGCTGTACAGGAAAAGACAAAATGGGAAAAAAGATAAAAATCAGAATATGAAGGGAATCAATCAACTAATTTTTAATTAAAATAAAAGACTTCTTGGTTTACAACTGATTCTGCTTACATTCACAGTATTACAGTATTAAAGAGTATACAGTATTGAATAAGTGCATTACATACAGCAACTGTCCTTAAAATTGCGTGAAATTTTCATGACGAATGGACCAACAGAAATGCTTCATGATTCTTCCATTAACTTTCATTAGAAATTAAGAATGTTGTTGCCTTCTTCTGTAAAGCTGCCATTTTGGAGATACATGTATGTATCTCTAAACATGTCATAGTATGAGAAGAGGCTGTATGACTGTAGGAGGGGAGAGAACTCTGGCTGGAGTCCTGTGGTCAGTTGTGCCGGCCATACGCAAGTTAGGTTAGTTATAACGTTTACTAATTTCAGATAAATCAAAACTGGTTGCACCACACAAATGAGTTTTTACATTAAGCTTAGCAGTTACTGCATATTTACACCTCCTGCTAAGCAAACCAATGGAAACTTCATACGTAGCTCAAAAAAACTTAGTGTTTTGCCTAAAGGGGAATTCCAGCAAGTTTTCAAAATTCTTTTTTTAATTAAGTCGTTGAGAAATACACAAAGTCATTCATTCTGTCACATTCATTCTGAGGTGAAAATAGATTGTAGAGAAATGTACCAACATTTCTTTACAGTGGTGGTGTTAGGAACCTGGGCTAGGAACACAAATATACAAGTCTTCTGAGCTTTTGTAGGTGATGTTGATGATGGTAAAATTTAGAAAAGGATAGAATGTAACTTCAGCCAGACTTCAGTTATTCCCTAACTCCATTAAAGAACTGGACTTCTCCAGGGTTTCTTCCAACCTTTGTGCCCATTTTTCTCAGATTCTCTTCAGGTGAACACCACCCTGCTCCAGGAAACAGAGGAAGTGAGACAGAGCATCAGTCAACTCAACAAAAAGGTACAAACAGAAACACACGTAATTATTCTTATCTGTTTATAGGGGCTCAAGCTCAGTGTACTCAATTACAGATCAAGCTTAGTTGCTGACAGAGTAATTTGCTGCATATTCCATTATAACACAGTCGAATGGGCTGTGTCTGTAGGAATTTGTGCCCTTTTATAGTCAAAAGAGCACATGTGAGATCAGAATGCACAAATTTCCCACTTGTCCTGTAAAAACAGCCTGTTTTAAATGATGTCACAGGTATGCACAAATACTCAATTCATCCTGCAAAATCAGCCTGTCTTGAATTAATCATGGGTGTGATGTCACATTTGTGCACGTTTCCCATTTGTCCTGCAAAAACAGCCCGTTTTGATTTCATTATGGTTGTGATGTCACAAGTATACACAAATTTCTCATTCGCCCTGTAAAAACAGCCTGTTTTAAGTTCATCATGGATGTGATGTCACAAGTATGCACAAATATCCAATTCATCCTGCAAACAACAGCCTGTTTTGAATTCCTCATGGATGTGATGTCATAAGTATGCACAGATTTCCCATTTGTCCTGCACCAGTTAAGCCTTGTTTCACTGATGTACAAAAAGACTACTTTATATTTTTTGCGGTTTCATGTGTTCACTGTACAAAAAACCCACACAGATGCTACAAATGTAACATATGGGCCCTTTAATGTGCTTGGTAAGGTGCCACCTACTTATCATTAATTGGAATGGGCCGTGATGTCAGTGGTTTCAACTGCGCACAGATGGATCGGGGCGCATTATGTTGTAGGGGGCCATGAGTAACTTTCAGACGCGCATATTGTGTCTTTCCCTCTCTCACAGATGGGCTCAGGTAGGACGGGTGAGACTCTGCATTAATTAAGACACAGGGGGTGCTTCTGCAGTGCAGATAAAAACTGAGGAAGTGCTGACTGCACGTTCTGCCAAAACCTACGCCCCTTCTTCCCTCACCTCCAGCCCCCCAGTGGCCGTCTTTTCTTACTATTTCTGTCCCTTCCTTCTCTCTCTCTCTCCTGGGCTTTGATTCTGAAATGGAACAGGTCTTGTATTTACGCAAGCCGGCGTCAGAGACACTGCAGAATCCGCAGCTCTGTAGTGAACAGTGTTGGATAATGGGAGAGTGATGAATGGGCTGTGCTGGGAGTTTTATGTTTATAAGGTAACACTGAGATGCTGTGTCCTCTAACTGGGTTTGTGGCCTTAAAGGGCCCATATAACCCTGTTTGTTCTCACTTGAAATAAGTTTGTTAAAGTTTAAGAATCTCTATATTATCCTTGTGGTACATACATAAAAACTAACCTGCAAAACAGCCTGATTTGAATTCATTATTTTTGTGATGTCACAAACACCAATGCATTCACATAGATCCATCTATTCAGCCTACAGCAGTTTAGCTCTGCCCATTCATGGCGTGGCCACAACTTAATAAGGCATGGAAATGAGATATTTAAGTCATGGCCATGACTTAGTAAGGCCTGGGAACGAGATCATGCCTTATAAAGCTGTGGTCAACCTTTGATTATCTCATTCCCACGACTTACTAATTCATGGCCACGCATTAGGATCTTGTTCCCACGCCCTACTAAGTCGTGGCCACGCATTTTATATTTATTTATACGGGATGTCACCAGCGGGGCTCCGTAGGACTGTGATATTTGAATAAATCAATATACACGACAGCCAATCAGAAATGAGACTGTTTACATACATCAGTCTTAAATGCTGTTTTTTAAGGACTAAAGGTAGGTTAGACAATAGTCATGTTACAGTGAATTATGATGTCATTATTGGACTTAGTGGATTTATCAGGCATTTTCAGGCATAACCATTTAATATAATTTATTGAGTTTTATGAATCTATATCAGTATCTAATATTTATAAGCCTACACTGTTGTCCTATTTTATCAGATCCTGAAAAATGTTACACTGCAAAATAAAACTTCTCTTTTGTAGCTGGCCTTTCTCTTAAGACTAATGTAACTATTTACATTAATAATTATAGCTATTATTGGTGGTTAGCCATACCTACCAGTTTCCTAGCTAATGCTAAGCTTCAGCTTCAAGGCTCTGAATACAGAAAGGGATGCGTTACCTTGTCAGGCAAAGTTAAATTTAGTTTTGGGTTGCATAATTTGTTTTTTATTTATATGTAACTAAATAAAATTAATATCTGATGAGATTCCATGAGCATGAAGAGCATTTGTTGCTTGTACCAAACTGCCCACATGGGCAACATTGCAGAACATTAGTCTACCAAACCTACAATTGATATGAACTCCTTTGTCTTTCTTTGCAACCTCAGATGGGCAGCCTGAACCAGGAGGTGTCTCAGCTAACTAAGGACCTACACCACATGATGCATCTTCTGCAAGCACAAGTGGCTGTTCATCATTATACAGCCTCCTTGTCCTCCTACCCTTACGGTGTGCACATGATGTCCAACCCAGCTGGCAGCACCGCAATGGCCTACAGCATGGGCACCAGCATGCACCTACACCAGGAGGCCCATGGCCATCATCATCAGGTGGACCATGCAATCCCAGAGAACCTCAACCATCTAGGTGCCAGCACATGGAACCATGGTGGAGCATGTGGTAGGGAATCTGTCAGATTTTTGATACCACTGTTTGTAAATGATTGTTTACATCAATACATCAAGTTGCCTTATTTTACCTCATTAAGATTATATCATTAAGCTAACCACTATCTAAACGAAATATTTCTGTTGCAGGTGCCACTAGTACAAGTGTACAGGAGCAATCAGAAGGTCAAGGGCACTTCCCTCAGTCTGACCCTCTTCAGCGTCCGAGTAGTCCTGACCCTGGTTCCTGTAAATGGAGCTCCATCAACACCACCACCACCTCCTACTACACCCCCCACCAGCACTCCCTCACCAGCTCTACTCTCCTCAGAATCAGCCCAGGCCATCATGGAGTGGCAGCACAGGATAGTCAGACAGGGCTCGAGGACAAAGGTCCATCCCTTGGTATGGCCACTGGGGGCAGTGGCCTTGCTAGCATTAGCCGCTCACAGCCCATTTTGTGTGCTATGCCTTCACACAACTCGGACTACTCCCACTTACTGTCCAGTGCGCCTACATCTACACATTCCCTGTTGATGGCTAGTCGTCCATATCCAAACCTTCAGCCATCAGCGGAGCCCACATTGCCCCATTCAGCCCCGGTTTTGAGTGAACTAAACCTGAGCTCGGCGGTCGCTCACAGTGACAGAAACATCCCAGAAACCTCCAGCTTCCTGGACGAGGACATTGAGGATTGTGTCCATCTGTCAGATTGTTCACCTCCTCCTCCAAGGCTGGATTCTGCATCAGTGGACCTTCCTTTGGGGGATTTGAGTCATGTGGGCCACACCAGTCGCGAGTGCCTACTGACTGAGCAAGGCTCAGTGGAGAGCCAGGACAGTGAGGTGTCTGAATCTAGGTCCAGGAGGCCCAGCGCTGGGATGCAGTCTCAAACTCAGAGCTCTGAAACCTCCTGGTGCCTGGATTTGATGGACTGAACAACCACTATATGTCCAAAAGTATACAGTCACCTATTGATATTAGTGGATCAGCAACTTTAAGGCAAACCCTTTGCTGACTTTCTTTGACTCAATGCCAAGTGATGGGTGTCTGCTAGTGTCAAGCTCCCCGGCACCGGGCTGGGCTGTTTGTGATCCACTGCTGACCTCACTAATATCTTATAGCTGAATGGAATCCGTGAAGTAATGTTTCAACATCTAGTGGAAAGTCTTCATAGAAGGATAGAAGCTGTTAGCGTAGGGACAAGCTGGCCACTGTTAATAACCTTGATTTAGAAAGAAATATTGGGCAATGAGGTGTCTAGATACTTTTGGACATACAGTGTATCCTGGGGTTCTGACCCACACTCTGCAGACAAACTTTATATCCAAAAATCCCAGGTTTGCAGTGATTGTTTTGCAGTTTTGATGAGTGATTTGGATATACTCTGGGATTGCTTGTTCAGTCCTGTCCCTGCAAATGACTGAAAACTATGCAAGACGCATGTCAATTGTGCATTATTACTTATTTACTTAATCGATACTCAGTATACCACGAAATAGTTAGCCTTTGATATTACATATTTGCTACAGTTAACTGAAAGCGAATGATAATTATCCAGGGTGTTCACAAACCTTTTGGGCATTTTGTAAAAAAAAGGATTGCTAACATGAACAATTCATTGTAGCATTTGACTGTAGCATTCACTAGTTATTCCAGACTAGGTGCGCCTTTGCATTAACCTATATTTTTTCTTGTAGACGATGTAGTTTACGTTCTGTATTTCTCTTACCTTCTTGCATGGTAAAGTTTATCATTCTTTTTCCTAAGGAAAAGGTATACAACTGAAATGTGTTAACATTACGAAAGTTCGTAGGGTAGGACTTCTGAAAGACGTGCAAGCGCTTCGGAATTATCACATGTACCGTTCGACTGTTGTCTTAAATGGGCCATTTCTGAGAAGGAAATAATGTTTGGTTCATGAAATTTCCAAAATCTTCGATAACAGGTCACAACTGACTCATAGATCAGTGAACTCCAATGTGATTTCTGTAATCGTCAGTGAACACCAATTTTATACTGTTTACAGTACGTTTTTACTGAAGGGTCATTGAAATTTTTTAGATCTCCCAACAAAAGCTTAATTTGCCATTGACAGTGAGAAAGCTTTCACATAAAACTACAAACTAGACAATGATTCTAACATAACATTGTCTAAACTTTACAGTTCAAAAGTCTCTATAATGAGAGTTGCAACATACAGAAATGCAATATCTAATAAAATAGGTTCAAACAAGAGTTATTGCCAGCAGATCCATCCTTTGTTAAAGAGATAGTTTGGCAAAAGATCAAATTTGCACAATATTCCACTTACACCAGATGTAGTCGACCAGCCAAGACATGTTTGGTGTCCAAAATTTGCTTTATTTTAGAACTGGAGCTACGAGGCTAACACCGCTAACCTACAGTAAAAGTCAGTAGTCACCCAAATCATTCATTTTTATAGCTCACAGCAAATTGTACTGCGTCCTAAACCAGATCAGTATGTCTGTGCAACCTTAATGAAGATCTGGATGCAGTTTGAGTAGATTGAGAGAAGCTTCGAGGATGTATTTACAGAAAAGATTTGGGTGTCTATTAAGTTCTAATGTTTGTTAGCAATGTTAGGCCCAATCCCATTTCTTCTTTTTACCCCTACATCTTGTTTTCGAGTGTCACCCTAACCCCTTGGAACAGAGTTACAAGGGGTAGTGGTTGAAATCATGCCCTACGAAATGGGACAACCTTCAAATAAAAAAAACAAAAAACACTTACTTCATTAACAGGCTGCTAGCGCTGCTCTGTAGGTAACCAGACCCGTCTTCAGTGATATCAGAGAATACCAAGACAGTGATAGTTAGCTACCAAGACATTAGCATGCTATTAGAGATTTTTTATGCTTGTTGTGAAGAAAACGACCATAATACATTGAAACGACATTAAACTAAGATAATACAATGGTTATCGTAATTTTTAACAGAGAAAATACTTACATTTGTGGGTTCCTTTGGTCGCTGTGCATCCCTCTATCTCAACAAAAATCGGGACACCCTAACCCTAGACATGAACGCACAAAACAGAGGGCTAAGGGCTAAGTGGTAGGAGCAAGGAGTGAAATGGGATTGGGCCTTATCGTCAAAGCTCCACTGCTAAACAAAAGAAATTAAATTTGGACAGTATGATTGACTACATCTGGGGTGATTGTGTAAAAGTAGTTTTTCCCCAAACGATTCTGTTAACTCATTGTAAATATTGACAAATATTGAAGCTTTTTTTATTCTTGGAGATTCAGAATTTAAGACACTGACCTCTGCATCAATTTAAATGGCCATCAAGTAAATCAATAGAAAAGAGAGCAAATAATATGTCCCCCTAAGAAGATTGTTATATGTTTATGAGAACAACTCAGCTGTATTTATTTATTTATTTACTTATTTATTTACGTATGTATTTATTTATTTATTAAATTGCAGTTTGTGCTGAAATACAAAAAAATATTAAATTGGTGTGAGTAAAATTGTGTAACGCGAGTTGGAGAGAGGTGCTGTCTAAATAAAATGTATTACAAGTTTACAAAAAATGGTAAATAAGAAGTACACAAAATCAGGTTAAGGTAAAAAATGGCAATGTTAAAGAATAATTTATGGTCTACTGAGCTCAAACCCCTGTATAAATTACACTACAAACACCTTAGTACCAAACAATGATGGATGGGAATCAATTTTTACCAAGTCAAAATGAAAAATCCATTTAGCTCAGAAAGCAAAGACTAAAGGCTGCTATAACACAGATGATGCGCACACATTCTCCGCATGGCTAACTCGTACTGTATATGATGCCTTTATAAAGCAGATATGCACTGTACATAAGAATACGGTATAAAGGTTAGAGATCATTTTGGCACAAACCATTGATTTTCATACGTGACATGGTCGTATGGTTATGGTAGGACTGTTATCAGTGCTAAATGAGCCGCCAGCATGTTTATATTCATTAAGGATGGTGTAATTTATCAATGTTTCACAAGGTATCTCCTTTTTTTTATGAACCAGTGGATGAAACAGTGTCCATATTTGTCAAACTCAAAATTGCTATTGGCAGTCATTAGGGATTGCTGAGAGAACATGAGAGGCTGCTGTTTATTCTTCTTAATTAAAGGAATTAAAGCTGCAATTGAAGAGAAATACTTAATTTCCCAACTTAAGAACATTATTTGACATATAAATGCATTGAAGAAGTAATAAATGTCACTTTATTCTTGAACAGACTTTTGCAGACTCCTACAGTGAAGAGCAGAAAGGCTTTTCCTTCAGTTTCCATACTGGCCTAAATCATTGCTTCTCCATGAATTATACATTACCAGTCAAAGGTTTTTGCATACATGACTGAATATGTTTATTTATAACCTTATAGGCATTTTTAGCTATAAGGCGTTCGCATAAATGCTACAAGATTTATTTGGCCGTCAACTGAATGCACACCAAATGCGATTGTCCTTCATTTTCCAAGTGAAATAGGTTGGCATGGCAATAACCAAGCTGATTGAACAAATCGGCCACATTCCAAAGAAATTGTGTCTGGTGTGAAAAAGTGGTATCTGAATATTTTGCCTTGCGTAACAACCTCACGACAGATATAAATAGTGAATATGATGGCTATGGATGAATGTATTTCAAAACTTTTTTTTTTCATGGAACAGCCCACCTTCTTTTAACGGCTGGCTAAGCACCCAAAACAATTAAAAATGTGTAAAATAGTAAAAATAAGGGAAACCCTTTTGGAAAGCTGTTGCACAACGGATGTGCCACATCACGCTGCGCAGTGTCCAGAAACTTGAAACCATTGCTTTTAATGAAGGTATACACAGCAGCGCCAAAACAGCATACCATGCAGCATTTGGCCATGACCAGATTAAACCAAAGCCACAGCGAGACCACAGAAAGCCACGGTAGATCACATGCGGCTTGAACTTTACACAGAGAAAGGCAGGCAGTCTTTAAGATAAACAGACAGATGCTAATGCTAAGTTACCTCAGCTAACGTTATTAGCCTAGCCTTTTTCAGCTCAAAAACAGTCAGTTTGTGAAGAGGTAAATGGGTACCAAGCGTAATAAGTGATGCTGAACACTTTACTTTATTTAATTTTTATGAGTAGAGTGCATAAATGAATCTGAACCTGGCGTTTCTGGGCTCTCCCTGCCAGCACTCTATAGCAGCACTGCTACAAGATGCTACGCTACAAGATGCTGCACAGTGCGATGCGGCATGTTCGTTGTGCGACAGCCTTAAGAGTAGGTGTGTTCAACTTTTGACTGGTATTGTGCACAACTATAATTCATTTTTATCATAACTTCTTATCATTTGTCTTACAGACTTCAACTATTCTATAACTCCACTAAAACAACAGTGTGTAATTTGATC